GGTGGTGGCACCATCATGATGTGGGGATGCTTCTCAGCAGCACCCTTGGAAAGCTTGTAAAGGTAGAGCCAAAGCAAACAGCCAATGCTACACAGAAAGTGTTTAAGTCAACAAGCTGAATGTTCTGGAGGCCGAGTCCGAGTCCAGACATCAATCCCAATGAGAATTAGTGGCTGAACTTAAAAGGCTCTTTACTTGCAATCTAGCAAAGAAGAATGAGGTAAATCTGCAGCGTCCAGATGTTCAGGCTGATTGAGACCAACACAGGATCAATGATGGAACTGTAGCTAAAGGTATATCTATTAAACTCTGACATATGGGGGGTGAATAATTACTTATATTACATCTTATTATCTTATTGAAATTAACTGTCATTACTTTGTAGTACTCTGTTGTATGACATGGAAGAGTTTTTAACTGACCATGATGGACACATACTTTTTATGGGAGCAACACAAGGTGCTATCTACATCAAGGCTATGTTCAGACAGCAGGCTAAAGTGACCAAATCCACTTATTTTTTGCCCCTATGTGACCTGTATCTGACCTTTTTATGACAGTCTGAACAACACAGATCTGATGCTTTCAAATGCGACCCAGGCCACATGTGGTCCTAAATCCAATATGTATCTGATCCTATGCCACGTGACTTCCGTCTGAATGTCCAGGTTGCATTTATCCGACCTACACATCATTGATACACAACAAACGTCACTATTCTCCGTTCAAGCAGACTCTGCACCCACACGTTTCTCTGTACAGACGTTGCTGCCATTCCCCCACAAAACGCCATGGCCAAAAACTTGGCTCTCTTCCTTTTTAATCTTCTCCTCAAAACGATTACGTTGTAAATGTGCTGGCTCTGGTTGGACAACAACTTTACAATCGCAAAATACACTCCACCACAACCCAGTCTCAGTTCATGAAATACTCATAATGCTTTATCTATCGATTCGTGTCCAGGTACACATATTGCCCAAGTTTTTTGTGTCCCACATTACGAATTTCAAACTAATAAATGTCAGTTGGACTTATCTTTCATGTCTGGGCCATGTCTTTTTTCCTATTAGACTGCGCATATGCTGTGGTGACCTGTCCAGGGTGTCCCCTGCCTTCACCCTGAGTCAGCTGGGATAGACTCCAGCCCCCCATGACCCTAGAGAGGATTAAGGTGTAGAGATAATGTATATGCTGGGATGTTTTTGCCTTTCTTTTCTTCCAACAGTCAGCATTAACCAGTTTTACTGCTATGGCCCGTCCACACTAACTATAGAGATCACAATAAAGATGTGTGCAGCCACACTGACCAACGCTAACATTCTGTAAACATCGGCGCTGAGCAGCTACCGTGTGCTCCAGCTGTGTATAAGCTCTGTATCCGTTCAAATATAAAAGACAAAAAATACTATTACTAGCTAGCTGAAAAGAGGCAGGGGCATTACTGTATGTTTTAGTTGCTTGCAAAAGCGTTCTTCACCATCATTTTGGTTCTGACATGCAGTAATTTATTA